TATAGTTGATATGTAATTACTTATATAAATTAATCAATAAAGATATGAGCAAGGCCTCACCTTAATACCAAAAAATAAAATAAAATAAATAAATAAATAAATCCTTAATGCTTTAAAAATAATTTAATACCCCTCATTGAACAAATAATAGAAATTATATTTTATAAAGAACTTATAAACTTGCATAAAAATATTAAATATGTATAAATAGTAAATATTACTGCTGAAGCTGAAAATGGCCAAACCCAAAATTAAGCTTATTTAATATAGAATATCTAAATTTTCTTGTGCGCATTTTTTTAATTAGGATAGTAATAAATCAAAATTATTATTTTTGGCCTTGATCACACCAATTGTTAAATCAATACAAATATTGTACATTTTTATCCATAGGTTCTAAATTGTTTTATGTCTAATATAATATAATTATTATTAACTTAATCAAGAATGCACCATAGCAAGAATTTTATTAATACTTAGAAATTGAAGATTGTTTTCTGGTAACTCTAAAACTTGCATATAAAATATGCCTTATGACAATCATCTTGGAAAAGTGAATATAACCAAAAAAAGAAACATGAGTGATTGTCACTACAGTTGTAAAAGGTGGCAGATCTTAAAGTACTTATCCAGGAAAAGCTCATGTTTCATTGTCATGCATGTTTTAGAAAAATTGAAAAATTTAGTCATAGTGAAGAAAGAAGTAGTTTAGTTTCTACATTATAAATAAGAATAAAGAAATGTAATAAATGTCTTACTGGTTTTTTTATATGCACCAAGGATTTGTGTTTGAAACTTCTAATTTATACAAAAAAAAAGCCAAAACTTAAATAATTTTTTTTTTAAATGTAAATTACAAATAAAAAAAGTGTAAGGTGCAAAGTTGCATTCTCATTACTTTTAACAGTAATAAATTAGTAATAATCACATTTTATTACTTATCTCTCTTCTTATAATAGTTATGCAGTCATTACAACCAAAAATTCCAGAAATTGGCAGTGAATTTCTAGCAGTAGAAAGTTTCAAGAAAGCTGTCCAAGAAAGTGCTAAAATAGCAGGCTTTGCTTTTAATATATCATCATCAAAAATGACACGCAGTGAAAAAGTGAGTCAAATATAGAAATAACCATGAAGTTACAGAAGAAACCTGAAAAAGAGTTAAATCTACAAAGTGCAAAAACTGCCCTGTTAGATTGCATGCTGTTTTAGATAAGAAAGCTGAAGCTTGGGTAGTACAATCTTTTAAAATCAACATAACCATGAACTTCTCTCAGAATCATAAGTTCACTGTCTTTATTAACATCCAATTCTTAACCTAGAACAAAAAGAGATAGTTCATATGATGCTTAAAAGTGGGGCGTCAGTTCAGTCAATTGCTAATGCAATTTATTAGAAACATGAAACTATATATACAAAAAATATTGTTAATAAACGTGACAGAATTAAAAATTCTTTGAATGAAGGCTCAAATTATAATACAACTATGCAGCTTATGCAAATGTTAGAAGAGCATCAGTATGTAGTTCATCATATATTATCAAAAGATAGTTCTATAAAAAATTTGTTTTTTACTCATATTGAAGCAGCTCACCAAACTGCTATATACCCGGAGGTGCTTATAGTAGATGCTACATATAAAACAAACTTATATAAGCTTTCTCTCATAATTGCTGTTGGTGTCAGTAATATTGGAAATACAAAACCTATCAAATCGCAATGGCATGAGTAGAAAATGAGCAAGAATACACATACAAATAGTTTTAAATACCTTAAAAGAAATAATATATAATAGTTTTTTTGCACCCCAGAAGTATTTGTTTCAGATAGATCCAGGCCCTTCGAAAAGCAGCAAATATAGTTTTTCTAGAAGCAAAAAAAATGGTATGTATCTGACATATGCTTGCACAAAATCTAAGAACTGCATATAGAAAATTTTTTAATAATAAAAATGATTATAACAAGTTGTTAATATCAGTTCAAAAAGTTGCTTACGCAAAGGAGATGAGTATAGTTGAAAAGTGTTTGATGAAGTGAAAGAAGCAGCAATTAAAAGTAGAGATCCAAACTATATCATAGCTTACTTAGAAGAATAGAAAAAGAATGAAAAATGTTGGATGAATGTTTTCACAAAATATTATTTGCATATGGAATTCATTCAACACAAAGAGCAGAAGAAAGTCATGGCTGTTTAGAAAAGGCAATTGAAGCAGCAAGTGGGTTAGATCAAGTATTTTTACATATTGATTGTGCTTTTTGTCAGCATCAATTAAAAAAAATAAACCATTTAGTTTAAATATTGTTTTTGTTGACCTATTTATACTTAATAATAAGAGATTTGAACAATTAGTTGGAAAATTTCCAAATAGACAATTGATCGAATTAAAATAGAAATATGTAAAGATGAAAAAAGAAACAGTAATAATATATATAGTAATACCTGTGAATATAGTTTGAAGTTAAATTTTAAACTACTATGCCACTATACAATTCCAATAACAAGGCCTATTTTACTTTCTATAATGCATTTCTATTGGCTCCTAAAGCATGATTTAGTACCTATATTGCCTTTATCCTTGTTATCTGAAATAGCCATTAATAAGGCTTTATATATATTAGAAGAAAAATATAAAAGCTTAAATGATTGTGGGTCAAAAGCTACATTTTTGAATAAAATTAATACTTTAATTGATAAAAAGATTATAACTCCAAAAGCATCATTACATATTGAAAATAGGGGCCAACCAACTTCTACTAAACGTGATCTTTACTTAGTGAATATCAAGATAAGGCTACTAAAAAAAAGAGAAAAACACACCCAAGCTTATAAAGGATTTGCAAAAATCATACCAACCACAGCAACTTTTATATCATAATCAAATATCTATTTATATGTATTAGTATATAAAAAAGATAATCAATATAGATGAAGTTAGTAATTGTGCCTATAAAGCGCTGGTAGTATGTTTAGAGAAAAGTGTAAGCAAATGGTCAGAGATACAAAAAGAATTGCAAAAAGAGTTGATTGAAAATGAACAATTTTACTAGATCTTGTTTGTAGCCAATGATGATTATGAAACAATTATGAGAGAAATCTCATAGGTAGATGGCCCTTGTATATTCAAGCACTGGATGCGAATGCCACAGATGGGAGATGTTATAGCTAATGTATACCAAAGGCCATTATACTTTTTTTTACTACAAATTAATTTTACTTTTCTTCCATATTACCAACTATTAAATCAAAATGAAGCTCTTGCAATAGCTATTGTTAATAATAATTACTATGTGGCTATTATATTAAAACCTGGTATGTACTCCTGTACCTCCAATTATAAATTGATAGTCACAATTTGCTACCCCAATTACAAAAAGATAGAAGCTACTAATTCAAAACCGTATTGACCAATTTATTTCAATAAGTAGTTAAGCTTAAAAAACAGATCTAAAAAGACAAAATAATGAATTAGTTACAGAAGATTAAATTTTAAATAGATATAATAAAGTAGAACTTAAGATACTTTCATAATTAAGCTTTGATTATAGTTAAAAAAAATGCAATACTAGTAGTTAGCTTTTAACTTACAAGTTTTATTGATTCTATATATGTAGTAGCTCAAAACTAATTTAAAATTCTGCTAAACTTTAAATATACAGTTGTTAAAAAAAAACTCAAATTGTTAGGCTAAAATTAGTAACAGTAAAAAAATCTTACAAGATAACAATAAAATAGATTATTATTACTTAAGCACATATGGATCTGCACTGTCTAGAAATCACATGATCATATGCTTTTCGACCCATTACATAATTTTGCACTGTCCCTAAGCACTGTCTGTAGACTTTTTGCTCCAAAAGTGTGAAAGTCACATGACTTCACTACTTAACAAAATTTCAAACTCCGATTAGGCAGAGTTTGAATTTTGTCAATTTTGTGGAAATGCAAAAGTCATGTGACCTCATCACCTAATCAGAGTTTAAAAACTTTGATCCGACAGAGGTCTTATGAATTACTACAAATTTTTCAAAGGTGAGTGGGTAGGGGAGGTGGTGGTGAAGATTTTTGAGATTTTTTTGGATAGTGGGTGAGAAAGTGACAGCCTAAGATAAATATCACTAATTTAAAAAGTGACAGCTTCGCAGACAAAACATCACTTTTTTAATTAGTGACCAGAATCTCCAAATATTATAGTGAAGACTAGCTTTTAAGACCCAGTCCTTGACTGGTTTAAGTTTTTAATTTTTTGCTAATTCTTAGGCCTCAATGTTATTAACTCTTAGAACTAGGTCTTAAGAGTTAAAAATGCTTAGGTCTAAGAATTAGCAGAAAATTAAGAACTTGAACCCAATAAACAACTGAGTCTTAAGAGCTAATAACATTAAAGCCTAAGAGTTAATAATATTAAGGCCTAAGAGCTAATAACATTAAAGCTTAAGAATTAGCAAAAAATTAGAAACTCAAACCTAGTTAATGACTGGATCTTATAAGCTAATATTGTAATATTGAGGTAGTTGTTAATTGAGTTCGAGTTTCTAATTTTTTACTAATTCTTAAATCTCAATGTTATTAAATTTTAGGCCTCAATATTATTAATTTTTAGGCTTCAGATTATTAATTTTTAGACCTTAATATTATTATTGACTTTTACTAAAACGCATCTATGGTGTTTTACACCTATGGTTCTATTTCTCAAAAACATACTAAGTAAACGGAATCGGGTTCTCTAAGTAAAAATGTTCAGGACCCCAAAAAACCTCACAAGAACTGAGATTGAGCCCTTATAGTAGCTCTATATATATTATATAAAAAAAACAATAATTCTCTAATTTCTAACCCTAACCCTAAATTTTATTAAAAGAAATTATACATAGGTATAAAACACTATAGGTGCGTTTTATAATAATTCTTATTAATTCTAAATGTTTTTTAAAAGTATTTAATTATTTATATGGGTTTAAAAGTATTTTAATTATTTTCATATATATTTTTATAATTATTTTAACTATTTTTTGTATTTCTTTTTAATTTAAATTATTTATTTTGTTTTTTTAGTTTATTTTAATTATTTTTAATTTATTTGGATTTTAATTTAATTTAATATATATAGTTCAATTTAATTTAATTTAATTTAATTTATTGTATATAATTTAATTTAATTTAATTTAATTTAATATGTATAATTTAATTAAATTTATTAAATTTAATACATGTAATTTAATTTAATTTAATACATGTAATTTAATTTAATTTAATACATATAATTTAATTTAATTTATTATATATAATTTAATTTAATTTATTACAAATTTAATATAATTTAATTTATTACAATTTAATTTAATTATGATTTAATTTAATTACAATTTAATTTAATTTAATTTAATTATTATGATTTAATTTATTGTAATTTAATTTAATGACTATAGTTTAATTTAATAATATAATTTAGATTAATTTTTTTTTTTTTTTTGGTATTAAGGTGAGGCCTTGCTCATATCTTTATTGATTAATTTATATAAGTAATTACAT